AATTTATCCAGCATACGAAGAATGCGTGTATTGTAAGGGTTAGAAGAAATAAGGATGACATTCTGCAATCACAGAGGACTTGATTTAAAAAGAAAAAAAAAAAGGAAAAAGAAAAAGAACAAAAGAAAAAAAAAAGGAAAAAAAAAAAGAACAAACCAAAAAAAAAGCCATGCTTTGTTTCATACTGATACAGCACTGATATGTTTTGTTTTTCCAGCTGCAAGTTTGAAAAGACAAATCTTGTCAGCCAAAGAGCAATAGGTCTGGATTTTCAAACTGAGGAATGTGCAGATGTTTTTGCCATGCTTATGTCATAGATACAAAACCAGTCAGTCACTCACCTGCTCGACCATGTTCGGGCATAAGATTTGCAATTCTACATCTGGAAAATACTTCCCAGGCTTTTATCTGGGAAGCGACCTGTAAGATATTTACAAACATATGCACACAACCAACTCTGAAAATCGGTATGCAGTTGTAATGTTAGCTGCTTTAGGCATAGAGCAAGTCCCTATGTTATCAACTGTAGATAATGTGAATGGATTACGTGTGGTTTGTATTTTTTTCTACCTGAATAACTGTATTTTTCTAGCATAATTATGAACAAATCTTCTTTAATCAACCACTATTTTTTGAAAAACAATATATATATAATTGTATCTCTAGCTATCAGCAGAAGGAAAACACTCTACATGAACAGATTTCTTTTTTGCCAAGTGTGGCCTTCTCTTGCCTTCCTGGAAATGCAAACAGAAACTTGCGTAATCAGCTGCTTAGTGAAGCTTTGTTCTAAACCAAAATAATTGCCTAGTTAGCAGCCAACCTTCAATTTGATAATGTGATTTTGGAAGATGGTGAGCAAATGTGACATCTGTAGGCTCAGATCGTAAAGTGCTCGATGGTTTTTAGGATTATGTGGTGAACTGCTGTTTCTACTGTCGTTACAAAAGCTTGTGTTATGATATCCATTTGCTACCCAGCAAGAGTCTGGAGCGCTTTCTTCCAGGGGCTCCTTCTAGTCTGCCCTTGAGTGGTCACTCAGCGGAAAAAATATATGAAGAATTTCTTGTGCTTTGGGCAGAAGGACAAGGTCTAAACTTGGTTTCCTGCTGGAACACAGAGCAAAGAGCTTCAGGTTATTAACTTGCATTAACTTCTGCTGCCAGCATCCTACAGGGAGCTAGAACGATCCTTTAATTGACCTAATGGTCTTTTTCTTATCTTGAGATGTGTCACATAATGCTGAAGTAGTCTTATCCCAGTACTGTTTACAGTATGCTCTGTATTTGCCATACAGAATTTACTGTAGAGTAGAAGCGCCTTATTTTCAAGCCAGAAAGCTTGTTAGATGTTTAGGCAATTGGCTGATCTTCTGGGTCTGTACTGTTTGAGAGGAGATGGAGGGTGCAGGACCTTCCACTGTGAACTTCTAAGAACACTAACAGGAAAGAAGCAACCTCAGGTCTCCTGGAGATGTTTATGGCTGGCTGTTACCTACTTGTCTGCAAAACCCGCTGGGTGTGGGTAGGTGTGTGCTTGGATGCTCAGGGCCTGTCAAGAGCAGTGGCATTGTTACCCAGGGTTGTGAGAGACAAACACTAAGCAAGGAGATGTTGAGGTTGCTTAGTCTCCACAGCTTTGGCTTTGTTGTCCGAAAGACACTGAACAGTCATTGTATTTGTTTAATGTTCGGTGGTTTTGTACTGCAGAGACTACATCATGGTACCTGAGTATCATGACCAGAATGCCACGTTCGCTGAAGCAAGATATAGATAAGAGCTTTGCATTCCCATAAACTGGATGCATTTCAGATTCTGAATTTTAATAGGTAATTAAATCTTGTAATGCCATGTAACACTTGGTGATTGCACCATAAATTAATGTAACCAGTTTCTGGAGATGGTCACTTCAATTTCCCTTTTGACTGTTAAGCTGATAAACCCTCTCTGATCAAGAGTCAATTTTAGACAGCTGTGATAATTAGGCTTTAATGTGTTGTCCACATTAAAACCAACACTGAGACTACACGCAATATACAAGAAAGTGACAGTTCTCAGTTAATCATCACGAAATCTTAAAAGATTTATAAGTTTTACACTTCAGAAAATATAAAAATACTTTTGGAGAGCTTTAGGAGAATCATGCACAAACTGGAAATAAGGTACTCATTGTTGGGGGGGGGTCACAGTAAAAAATTTTTTTAATCTGGTAGTTGTTTAGTCAGAGACCATATTTTGTATCTCTAAAGTCATCAAGCAGTACAAATTATACACTATTTTGTAATTCTGTAAAATAAAGACATAGTTTGTAAAGAAGAAATCAAGAACTGTTTAAACCAAAATTTGTGGTTTGGGAATATTTTTATTAATGTTGCATTTTAGTTTCTGCAGCTCAGAGTAAACACTAAAGGAGTGATAAAAACTTTGGAGTTTTTACCAAACACATTTAAAAAACTTTGTAAAAATCCATGCCGTCCTTCAGATTATTTCATTGTTCCTTTGAAGGCTCATACTTTATCTTTTTCGATTGTGATTGGGAAATAGATAAAAATTGGCAAATAGATAAAATTGTCAAATAGATAAAAGTAATCTACACAAGATGTGCGTGTGCTGGACTAGCACTGTTCATTAATTTGTGTAGTGACATATTGACCATTTAAAATCTTCAGAGTCTTGAATACGACAGGTTATATTACGAATAGCTCCTGCAACACTGAAGTGAATCTACTCTGTGCCTACCTGTCAAAGAGCTGAGAGCGTATCTTTTTGTTACGTACAGTTACTGGATTAGCTATATACATGGGGAGGATATATAGAGAGGAAACTACAGAAATTATGCAGTGAGTAAGTGGTACGTTATTTTAGGTGTTCCTGTTTGCCAACAGGTATTTCATCTTGAACAAGTTTTTCGACATGCCAACAGAAGAAGTGAATGGAAATGTTTTTAAATGGAGAGCCATTGCAATTTGAATATTTTTTCCCTTAGATTTATTTACAGAGGGAAATGACAGAGAAAGGTGATATAGTCTCCTCTTTGTAAGGCAGTATGTACTTGTCACGTTGTTAGGAGGTCAATTCCTTCCTACCTATAGTTACCTTACTTGCAAGCACAGAGTCTGTGCAGGATCCTACAGTTAAATACAGGCTTCATACAGATATATACAAGGCATCGTATGTATTTATTCACGTCACAGCTAGAGAAAATAAATAATTCTAATCTTCTGCAAGGTTTAATCCTCAAGGACTAGATTTCAGTGATACTTGCACTTCTTGGGCAGAACAAGTCCCACTTGAACAGTGATTGTAACAGGTCATCACAAAGATTCAATGGCAGTGGCGGTAAGTGTATTGTATTAACAGAGAAAAATTGTAAACCAAAGTATTTCTTCATTAATGCTGCAGAATCATAGCCAACGTCTGTCTTTTTTTTGCCTGTTTCGTTTTTTACTTTCTGCTTTAAACAAGTTCTCTGTGACGAATCCAAATGCCTGTGAGTCTTCGTGAGCCCAGGGAAGGGAAGGGAGCTGTGTCCTGTTACCAGGAGCTGATGTCCTGGTTTTCTATAACGGATGGTAGTGCCAGGGGAGGGGGAACAGAAGAAATCTCAAAGATAAATGGGCTCAGTTGTCTATTTGTTTACTGTTCCTGCAAGCTTCTGCTGCTTAATTTCTGACTCCTGTGTTGCCTTGCTGGGACCATCCATGCCTTAAAGACTCACTTTCTATCATGGAGGCCAGGCTTTATATCAATGACATGCTGCTGTAGAAAAAGGGTATTCCGAATGAGGCTATTCTGTACAAAGACTAGCGGGTAAATCCCAGGTTTGTTGATAAGATCTGGCAGAGTGTCCTTTCTGCCCTGTGCAGGCATTAAATGTTGTAGATAAAGGCAGTATTTTGTTACTCCATCTGTTAGGGCTGACCGTGTCCAGCCGAACTATATTATCACTTCAGTGTATCACTTAGGAATTCAGTGAATGTTCCAGAGGCACGTTAAAAGCTCCTGTGCCCATTATCATCTCATTTTATATATATGGTTTACACCGCTATCTTTGATATGTTGTTGCCAACTGCTCATTCTAGTAAATTGTCAATGTATGGCAGTTTAATTGAAGACTATAAGTGTGTACGGTGGTTGTAACAGTTTTAGGAAATAAAGTCACTGCACATGCAATTCGATAATGATTTTTCTTTTATTTCTTTAATCCGGTTTCCATTTCAATGAAGGGATGGGACTCTCTTTGCGGCTAGAGCAAGTAGAGAAATAAACTGATCTTTGGCATTTCAGTTCTTCTATTCTTCCACATTTCCTTCTAGCGGAAACTTGTACTGAATAATTAATTCTAAGTTTTCCTTTATCATTTTAACCATTGCCCGAATCTGCAATCAGCATACCCTTCTTGGGTACAGCTTTCACTGACTGCAGAGGGTAAATGGCTCTGCAGAGCTTTTGTTTGCTGTTGTGACCTAAATGAAACAATCTGGATTGAACCATTAATCACTGGTGAATGTGTCCAATGGGTCTCCCTAGCACCCCCCTTCACACGCGCATGCACACACACACACGCACGCACACATAGCTAATAGGAGCCCGAGTTGCCTGTGGAAAAACACATCGTTAAAATTGAATAATTGCATTTCAAATTGGGTGCGTCTGCTGCCCACACAGCGTGTTCCAGTTAGCTGACAGTTTTATAAGGACTTCTCAAAAGTTAATTTTTGCTAGATACTGAAATAAGTGACCCCCCTGTAAGCAGCATGGATGAGGCAGTCACAAAGTGTCAGGTTGTATGGCGTTATGCTGGCACTGATTTTTATTTTTTTTCTTCTTTTAATGCAAAAGCCCTTCTGTAAAACTTCAGCACACTGTAGGTGCTGCTGTTTCTGGCCTCTAAGCTGGATTAAACTGCTCATAACAGTGCAGAGTTTAAATTTGACATGCTTTTCTTTAAAACACATTTAACCTTTGCTTCTATAAAACCGAGCATCCCTGCTGGAGGCTTCAGGAAAACTTCTACTGACACACCCTGGTTTCTTTAAACAGAGAATGCAGTTCCATCATTTCAATGTTTTAATGTTGTAAGTCAAAAAAGAAAAAAAAAATAATAAACTTCTTTGTATATGGACTGGCTCCTGTGTCAATAGAAATGTCTGAAGTTTTGCTCAGCGTTGGCCGCACGGACAGATGGCTGGTGACAGTTGTTACTTGCTCAGGAAAGATAACGGAGTTGTTCTCAAGCAAAACGCGCACGCGTGCGTGTGTTTGTGTGTGTCATGTGGTCTGTGGGTTTCTGGTATGGTGGAAGTCTGTTAATGTATCCAGGTGGATAATGGGTGTGTGGGGGCTCAGTCCAGAGCCAGCAGCGGTTGGGTGTTCTCGTTTTCCCCCTGATCCTCGTGTTTCAGCGTGCCAGCTTCCACCACAGACTGGGACCTGAAAGCAAGAAAACACACATGGTAGTGAAGGGTGCTGCAGAAGCACGTACTTGCCCGGAGTCCCTCTGCTTCATATTTTGACTTTTGCTTTTGTCCTTTTTCACCTTTATGGCTTTTTATTTCTTTTCTGTGGAACGTATAAGGAATTTGAGAAGCATTCGTTTCAATATGAACAGGGACGTGAGTCATTGCAGATCTCAAATGCTTTCAAAACATATAGCGCTTAGCTACTGTCCATAATGCTGAGCGCACTCAGCAACTTAAAGGCCTGATCCTGAGACACCATGAGATCTGTTGGTGCTGAATGTCCTCCAGGGCAAAACTGCTGTGCAACTGCTTACGGGAATGCAGAGTCATTTGTACAAGTGCTTGCAGGGGTCTCAGCTCATGCTTGTTACGAATCTCGAGGAATACAAGTAGATAAACACATTTTACTGGTGTAGGAGTTTAAGGGGCAGAAGTTGCATAAGTTACCCAAGATCAACAAAGTAACTGGAATTAATGTGACAACAAGGGAGCTTCTGGTGTGCACAGTCCTGCAATTTATCTTTATCTCCTTGTCTACACCCTCGAAGGAGAACTTTATTCAGGACTACTCCGTTTTAAATTCATTTCTGTCTTCAAGGTGGGAAGCATAGTTTATCCTTTGCTGCTAATGGACACAAAAAAACCCACAACCAACAAACATTTTTTTTTGGGAAAGTGGAGCACCGTGATTACTTGCAGTGACAAAAGCTGAACGGACTTAAACTAGTGGGAAAATTCAAGACACTTTCATTTTCTGTGTGCTCCATTGTTTGCTCACTGAGCTGTGGAAGGAGGAACTGATGAGTTTATTGTTACAAAGATTTGTTATTCTCCATTTTCTCTGGTTTGGACTAGGAGTTGTCTCCTAGTTTGGAGTGGGCAATGAGTTTTAAGAGCAAAATCACTCAGTGAATCACAAGCTTTTAAAGTGGGAACTTTTTCAAAGATAGGGGTAGAATCATCCAGGCCAGGCATTTACATAGTGCATAGAATTGTTTTAAAGAGCCAGTTTCCTCATGGATAGAGTTAGGGGTAGCTCTCATTCCCTGCAGGATGCGTTTGTAGTTCTCAGTCATTAATTATGGTAACCTCAGTTTAAGCCTTAGCTATTCTGTGAGATTAGATATCACCTCTCTTTTGATAAGAATCATTAATAAATTGCATCCTTTGGTGTTGCAGCACTTGATCAGGACTGAATACCATGACTGTGAATATCTTGAATAATTATTTTTCTTATTCTTACGCCTGGAGCTTTCATTAAAGCATAATAAAAAATTTTCATTAAAAAAAATCTCTAAAGAGAGATAACAAAAACTGGATGCTCTATGGGAAAATTTTATGCCAAAATTTTCAAAGAAAATATGTTTGCCCAAATGTTTTCACTGTGTATTTTTTATGGTAATGTGACATGCATAATGTTTATGACTGCATTTTCATATAGAAAAGCAGCTGATTCAGGAGATTATGCAAAATGGAAATTTACATATTTCTAGTACGTGGCAGCAAAAACTAATCATGTGGCTTTGCAACTGATACAGAATGGATTCAAATCACAACATCAACAGTTTTTTATATTCTTTTCTGGACTACCAGATTAAATTATTATTAAATAGTACCTGATTAATACCTGTCACCAATGTTTTGGTTTTTGTCTGACCTACTGCCCTAAAATGAATATAAAAAGTCAAAGATCCATTGCAGCATTTGCCACCACACAGTGGAAAGTTTTTGCTCTAAGTTAAATATGAAAAGTCTCATGATTTTGCCTTTTGTGCCTTTTGTGATCACAGCTGATTATCTCTGCTCTCATTACAGAAAAAGAAATTCTTTCATCTGTAATAGCAAGATAGCAGTTTCTCCCCCGTACTAGTACTCAGGTGCTCACCAGGTTGTACGCAGGTCTCGCTGCTCCTCTTCACACAGAGCCAAAACAGCCAGAGCATCGAATAAGTGCATTGCAGCCCACCTGACCTCCAAATTCAAGTTGCCAAATGATTCAAATGCTATGCCCAGCCCTTCTGAATATATGTAGAGGAATGTAACTGAGATTTTAGTATCTGCCAAGCTCTGCAGCAACAGTAATCTCTCTTTTCCTTTTCTGCTAGAAGCTGCTTCGCCCCCTATCCTAAAATAAGCAGTTCAGACATCTATCTGAAGGACACAGTAATGATTTGAACAGTCATCGCTATTTTCTAAGACACCGCAATAAAAGACTTGCTGTCGTGTTTGGATTTCCATTTTCCAAATGCATTAGTTTTTCATTTGCTAAAAAAAGTTTCCAGTTTTGTTTTAATTAAATTTTATGTAGGAAAAAAGAAAATTACTCAATTCTCAACAGAATTCTAAAATACTTTTTTCGTATTCTTCATTTATGGTAAATATTAAAAATGCAGATGCTTGGAAAAACATTTTGGCAATATATATCAATGCAGCTCACAATCTAATGAAATAACTCAGTGTAAGAGAGATGTTTTACTGGCCTAGGACATCCTGGAATATGTATTCTATAGCTGTAATTTATTTAATGACAGAAAAAAGATGATTCGCAATAGGTCACCATTGCAGAAAGCATTTTCAAATGACCACTAACTATATTTTGCAGCTGCAGAAATTAATATAAGACAAATGCTATTCAAAAAAATCACCCTATCTGTTGGTTTCGTCTTGCTTTTGTGTATCTAACACACATACTCACTTCAAGGAAAGCAGTTATACTCTAGATATGTGAAGTTTACACAGTATTTTGGAGTTTTCATATGCTAACTCTAGTATTGAACCTAGGACTAAGACTGGTTTCTGTTTTAAAAGTACTGCTACCTATTTTAACTGCATTAACATTTTCTTCAGACAATTTCATAATCACATTTCAAATTTTTAAGTAGAATCTGATCATGGTTCTTGAAAGGTATTTGGATATATAACTCCACCTTAATCTACTATTGAAAAATAAATTGCAGTCAGGCACCAAAGCACCTTTGCCCTGCCTAGTCCGTTTAATTTGCAACCATCTTTGCACTAAAAACACCAAAACACCCTCTTGCACAACAGTTTAAGCCATTTTGATGTAAAATGGTAAATGAGCAGTTCAGAACTTTCCTCATTTGGCAAGCTCAGTTCAAGCTTTTGTCCTGTATATACTGTGGATGCTGTTCTCTCGGTACCCTATGGGAAGCAGTTCAAGGAACCAGACAAAAGCATTTTTATTTTGCTGCATTTCCATATCAATGTGTATAAATACCTGATGGGATGGAGTCGAGAAAATGAATCCAAACTATTCTCAGTGATACCCAGTGACAGGAGAAGAGGCAATGGACACAAATTGACATACAGGAACTTCCATTTTAATGTAAGAACAACTTTTTTTGCTGTGGGAGTGCACACACACTGTAACAAGCTGCCCAGAGAGGCTGTGGAGTCTTCGTCATTTGAGATATTCAAAATCCAGCTGGATATAGTCCTGGGCAACCTGCTCAAGCTCACCCTGCTCTGAGCAAGGGGCTGGGTAGAAGACCTCCAGAGGTCCTTTCCTCAACCTTTTCGCGATTCTGTGTCCACAGAAATACCAGCTTCTCAGAACCATCCCAATTCATGTTTCTCTATCCTGACAGGGTGATGATTTTCTTTCCAAGCTCATTACGCCTGTAGGGTGTCATCTTTGACAGTGTGGATGATGTTCAGCTGCTAAACATAGATACCTACTGCTATTTAAGGCACCTCAGGGTATCCAATATGACTTTCCACGGCTGACTGTTATGACTTAGGATTTAGAGAAGACTCATGTCCTTCCGAAGTAACAGATGGAGGCCAAGAGGACATCACAGTGCGTAAAATCATACAAGGTGCTTATACTTATGCAGCAGAGCCTCACCTGTGCTGTTGTTTCTGCGGGATGAATGCGACTGCTTTGTAATGTTCAAGGCACGTCCAAGTCATTTTGACCTGGGCCAGACACAAACTAATCATTTAAGCAGGAAGTAGTAATTGCATTGGCCTTCTCCTCATATCACTATGTTTTAGTCACTTGTGTTGTAATTCGTCTCACCATCAGATATCTATGGTCACTCTGTGCTATAAATGGCAGAGAGAAATAGCTGTTCTCAGGGTGCAATTCATCTGACCTGTTCTAAACATATGGTCCTAACATGTGATTCATGGGTTACCTACATTCAGGTCTCTCTTCTGATGAGTTCTCATCCGTTAACACCAGGGAGAACAGGTTCTGTAATTTACGAGGCAATGTTTCCTACATATCGTAGCCACAACTATGTCATACTATGTCCCTTCAATACTAACCTGAAATGTGGTACATGTCCTGCAACTTTGGAATTATATATCAGTATATCTGAATTCAGAACCTTTTTGTTTTCTCTCTTTCTCAGCTAAAAATTCTCAGTAGCCAGTCTGGAAGATGCTTGGGTAAGTGGGATCTAGATGAGTTAAATTTTAACCCAGTAGACAATTGTTTGTATCACACAGATAAGGTCTATGTGGGACGCTGAGCTGAAAGACCCTATGCCTGTCTGTCTTTAACATGATACACACAGGAGACTAAGCTCTTGTACAAGTACAATATGATCATCATGGGCTGGGAGCTGAGTCTGAAGTAATTAATAGACAAACCAATGCCCATAGACTTTCCTAGCCAATTTTCCCAGGCTAGGTAACCTTGCTTAGGAAAGCAAAATGAAAATGGAAATATAAATGAATTCTCAGTCTCACTTCGGAAGTGAATGTACCATTTGAGTGTGGTCCATTTAAAGCGTCAATCAAACCCCCTATGGTTGTTTTACTGTTCAGCAAGAGTATTTGGAAGTCTGGAAAATCAACACTATCCAGCTGTTTCTCCAGCAGGTCAGCCATATATTTCAAATGACAGCACTGCACAGGTATGTAAATCAATATCTATGAGAGCAGATGGCTTTATGTGTGTGTGGTCATTTTAGTACCACTATCTCAAATCCAGTCAAAAAA